TGCAGTAAAGACCTGGCAAATCATCTCAAGGGAGGAAACTCAGCATTTGGTGATGTCCATGGGGTCCAGACTTCAGGTAGTCATTGACTGCAAAGGATTTACCTCCAAGTAATAAAAATAATCCTAATATTTATGATTATATTAGTTTGTCCCATTACTTTTGAGCCTGTGAAAATGGAGGAACTCTGTAAAAAATGGCCGTAATTCCTAAACGGTTAATGCAATATTTTTGTTAAACCCCTTGAATTAAAGCTGAAAGTCTACGCTTCAGTCACATCTTGACTGCTTCATTTCAAATCCACTGTGGTGGTGTACAGAGGCAAAATTACCAAAACTGTGTCACTGTCCCAATATTTATGGACCTGACTGTATTTGTCTATGCTTATGAATACATTTTTTGGTATAGAGTACCAAAATACAGAGTCAAAAGACATGATGTGTGCAAATCTGGATGGATATAAAAAATGGATAAATGGATATATGCACAGGTAGTATATTTCATAGCAAAAACAAAAGTGTCCAAATACTTATTTCCTTTCACTGTACATATCCATGCTCTTATACACCGATCAGCCATAATATTAAAACCACTGACAGGTGAAGTGAATAACATTGATTATCAATGGCACCTGTCAAGGAGTGGAATATATTAGGCAGCAAGTGAACAGTCAGTTCTCAAAGTTGATGTGTTGGAAGCAGGAAAAATAGGCAAGCGTAAGGATCTGAGCGATTTTGACAAAGGCTGAATCGTGATAGCTAGACGACTGGGTCAGAGCAACTCCAAAACTGCAGGTCTGTTGCAGACCAAGTATGCCCCTTCATGGCAACAGTATTCCCTAATGGCAGTGGCCTCTTCAGCAGGATAATGCGCCCTGCCACACTGCAAAAAATGTTTCAGGAATGGTTTGAGGAACATGACAAAGAGTTCAAGGTGTTGATTTGGCCTCCGAATTCCCCAGATTTCAATCCAATCAAGCATCTGTGTAATGTGCTGGACAAACAAGTCTGATCCATGGAGGCCCCACCTTGTAACTTACAGGACTTAAAGGATCTGCTGCTACTGTCCTGGTACAAGATACCACAGCACACCTTCAGAGGTCTTTTGGAGTCCATGCCTTGATGGGTCAGAACTGCTTTGGTGGCACAAGGAGGACCTATACAATATTAGGCAGGTGGTTTTAATGTTATGGCTGATCGGTGTATGACCCCACACAGGGAGCCCTGTTTCTTTCATGGGGGCTGATAATGTGGGAAGAGTACCATTCAATGTATGTGTTAGTATATGGAGTGGGGATATAACTGAATACAAATACATTATTCAGATGAACAAGTAAGGTGTTCTAAACAGATATGAATGCACTATTCAAATAGTTTAAACTTTTAGTTTTGAAAAATGCAGTTTGTCATGTTACCAAGAACCCGGAAAGCACATAGTGTGCTGACACTGGAGACTCCTTCCATAAATGTTAAATAAACATGTCCTCAGAGAAAGTTTCACCAAATCATATACATGATTATACATATTTTTTGTTAAACAAGAATGCTTTTTCATTCGTTTATTATTGGATAAACTTGGATTATGTGGAGCATCCACCATACTCTTTTGTAAAATAGAACCAACTACAAAGTACAACCACAAACAAAATACAAATACAGTTACACACAAAATAATAATCTCATGCGGGGATTTAAAAAACAAACAAAAAAAAACAACAAACAACAACAACAAGAACAACAAAAAAACACAGTCCTGGGCACACCCCTCAAGTGATATGAAGTTGTGGTACTGTCAGAAAAAAAAAAAAATCTTCCAGTTTAGGCCACACCCACTTTTGGATAAATCTGAATACAGATACAGATTTTTTTTCACATTTCCATGTATCAAAGAAGGAAGCAGAAGTAGTAGTGTAAATATTATGTATACAGTATAGCTAGCTCACTTACCTAGAAAAGGAACAGCTGCATAGCTATTGTAGTCTGCAGCAGGAGCTGGTCTTACACACTGCTGGCTTTCCTGAGTCAAAAGAATTTTGCCCATTCAATAAGTCAATACATGTGTCCATTCAAAGCAAGAGTGCATAACCCCATGTTTTAGGCATTGACTGCCAGTGGATTTCGACTGGCTACAGATGTATGTACTGCATCTTAAAATGCTCACCGTCGTCCCAATTAGCACAAAGCCATTTCTTTTTCACCTAGCACATCAG